TAAGGGTGGCCATGGCCACCCCTGGCCCCCCATCTAGCTCCGCCCCTGCCCCAGGGAGCCACAGAGAGCATCCTGGGGGCGAAGCAGCTGTTTCAGCAGAGATAGATGATGTTTCTGTAGAATAAACCCAGAACAGGTTCCAGTCGCCTCCTTTATCCAGAACTTCAGCACCGACTAACAAACACAACGAGAAGCTCCTTTCAGGTGTGCGGGGGGGTTTCCTTCAGGTAGATCCCAGGTAGCGCTGACTGATGTCAGATTCCTCTGTTCTTCAGGAAGATGGAGGCCAGCTCAGGCAGCGTCCTTCTGCAGCTCCTCAGAGGACGGGAAGCCCCGCCCCTCCATGCTCAAACACCTCCGCTCCAAGATCCAATCCACAGGCCCCATCTCTGTGTCCGAGTACATGAAGGAGGTTCTGACCAACCCGGTGACCGTACGTCTCTGTGTCCAGATTAGTTTGTGTCCAAAGTGTCTTACTGACCAGAGGACGGTTTATGAAGGAGTTTGGTTCTGTTTGGATCAGTGAATTAGACCCCCAGCCTGCAGGGGGCAGTGTTTCCAGCTGTTCACGGTGGTTCTTTGTTCTGCTGCAGGGTTACTATGTGAGGAAAAACATGCTGGGAGCCGATGGAGACTTCATCACGTCACCAGAGATCAGCCAGGTGTTTGGAGAGGTGAGTCGGTCCTTCCTGTGCTGAAGCACGGCCGGGTTTGGGTCAGAACCTGTTCGATTCCAGAACCGCTGCTTTCCACCATCTAATATTAACAGATTCATTCACCTATGAATGATGATGATGATAATACTTTATTTCAGACAGACATCCCACCAACAAAACTAAATAAAAATGAATACTTTCATTTTTCTAAATGTAAAAACCTTACTATCTCATTTACATCCTCAAATACGTGTTAATGCAAAACTTATTCATGACTGTGAGTCTGAAAGGAGTAGATGAAGTTTAACTAATTATACTCCTTTTATATTCATTACTTCATTCCTAAATCAACACCGACTCTCAGCCAGTGGTTGGTTTTTACTAACAAATATATTTAATATAGCAACAAATATTTGTTCCTAAATTTTGGAGAATTGTGGAAGTAATGAAACAGGCCTGTAATTTATGAACCGATGTCTTTCCACAGATCCGTATAGTTGGATAACTTTTGCAATTTTCATTTTTTGTGGTTTACAAATATATGTTAGTGGCTGAATAATTTCCATAATCATCTTCTTTATTATTATTATGTCAATACCATTGCAGCTAACCATAATCAGCCGTTAGCTTCCATAATCCGGAAGCTAACCGTAATCAGCCGTTAGCTTCCATAATCCGGAAGCTAATGGCTGGAAGCTAACCATAATCAGCCATTAGCTTCCATAATCCGGAAGCTAACCGTTATCAGTCGTTAGCTTCCATAATCCGGAAGCTAACCATTATCAGCCGTTAGCTTCCATAATCTGAGCTTCCATAATCTGGAAGCTAACCATAATCAGCCGTTAGCTTCCATAATCTGGAAGCTAACCGTAATCAGCTGTTAGCTTCCATAATCTGGAAGCTAACGGCTGAACGGAGCCGAGGCGGCTCAGTGGAAAAGGCGTTTCTGACTCTCAGTAGAACCGTATGATGATCTCTGGTTCTGGAGACGTTCTGGTTCGGAGCAGCAGGTCCTGAAGCAGAATCCTAATCAGCTCCTGTTTGATTTCTCTCTGCTCCTCCAGCTGCTCGGCGTTTGGATCATCAGCGAGTGGATGGGGGCGGGTCGGCCCAAACGGCTGCAGCTGGTGGAGCTGGGTCCAGGAAAGGGTTCGCTGGCCTCCGACATCCTGAGAGTGAGACCAGAGTTCTGTTCCGGTCCGTTTTGGTGAGCCGGCACCGTCATCCTGCCGAACCGTCCCTCAGTCGGTGGTTCTCCTCCCCTCAGGTGTTCAGCCAGCTGCAGTCTGTTGTGGGCGGAGCCTCGGTGTCGGTCCACCTGGTGGAGGTGAGTCCGGTTCTGAGTCGGCTCCAGGCAGAGACCCTGACGGGGAACCGCAGCGAGGAGGCGAGCAGCGAGGACGACCCGGTTTACAGGCGCGGTGAAACTGAGGGCGGGGTGTCGGTGTCGTGGTACCGCCGTTTGGAGGACGTCCCTGCAGGTAGACGGCAGCAGGAGACCGGGTCGGGTCGGGTCGGGTCGGGTCAGAACTCCTCTGCAGCGTCAAACAATCTACTGATCCCAGACGTTTTTCTTTGCAGCTTTCAGCATCTTTGTTGCTCACGAGTTCTTTGACGCTCTGCCAGTCCACAAGTTCCAGGTGAGACTTGGAGGACAAGATGCCTGTCTTCCCTCTGACCACACGTCACCTGTCCTACCCGTCTCTCTCACCTGTCCTCCCCGTCTCCCTCTCACCTGTCCTCCGTGTCTCACCTGTCCTACCCGTCTCCCTCTCACCTGTCCTACCCGTCTCCCTCTCACCTGTCCTATCCGTCTCCCCTGTCCTACCCGTCTCCCTCTCACCTGTCCTATCTGTCTCCCTCTCACCTGTCCTCCCCGTCTCACCTGTCCTCCCCGTCTCACCTGTCCTATCCGTCTCACCTGTCCTCCCCGTCTCACCTGTCCTCTCCGTCTCTCCTGTCCCAACCGTCTCCCTCTCACCTGTCCTATCTGTCTCCCTCTCACCTGTCCTACCTGTCCTCCCCGTCTCACCTGTCCTATCCGTCTCACCTGTCCTCCCCGTCTCACCTGTCCTATCCGTCTCCCCTGTCCTACCCGTCTCCCTCTCACCTGTCCTCCCCGTCTCCCTCTCACCTGTCCTCTGTGTCTCACCTGTCCTACCTGTCTCCCTCTCACCTGTCCTACCCGTCTCACCTGTCCTCCCCGTCTCACCTGTCCTCCCCGTCTCCCTCTCACCTGTCCTCCCCGTCTCACCTGTCCTCCCCGTCTCCCTCTCACCTGTCCTACCCGTCTCACCTGTCCTCCGTGTCTCACCTGTCCTCCCCGTCTCCCTCTCACCTGTCCTCCGTGTCTCACCTGTCCTACCCGTCTCCCTCTCACCTGTCCTCCGTGTCTCACCTGTCCTAT